TAACATCAACATTTCCCAGCTGGTTCCTTGTGGCTGTATAGAACCTACACCTCACAGCTAGCATAGTCATTGCTATCATTTCTTTCTTTCTTTCTTTAAAAACTAATATAGCCATCCATCTTGTACCTTTGAATCTGGATGGCCCAGGCAAAATTAAAGTAACCGCCCAGCAATATAATATATAAATAACCAAATATTAATCAAAATAACAGTAATGTGGAAATTTGAAACATCAGAATAAAGTTTTGAGTAGCTTAAAATACAGTAAAAAATTTAAAGCAAAATTTTTAAAATAATAAAAACAGTTATTAAAACAAATAACAATAGAGTACCAGCTTAAATAACTGATATCTGAGTAACAACACATGACCAAAACATCTTCACTTGACATTAAAAAGCATAGTAAAATTCATGTCAAATATATTTCACTGAGAAAGATGTTCCATAGACCAGGTGTCCCCAAGCCCATTATTGTTTGAAACCTGGGCCACACAAGCAGCAGGGGAGCTCATAAAGCTCCATTTGCACAAACGAATGCACACGTGTGAAACCATCCCCTTTCCCCACTGCGGCTGCTGTCAGTCTACAGAGCTGAAAAGGTTGGGGACTGCTGCCATAGACTGCTACTGAAAGGGCCTGCTTTGAGTAAACTGCTATACCTGCAGCATACCTCTGATTTCAATGTACATAAAAGAACATATAATGAAGTGGTAAAAGAATAGAAAGCAGAAATGAACTGGGACCCTGGGTGAAAGTAACAGCAGACTTGGGTATTAGTCTTACACTACCCAGTTCCGATCAGTAGTCTTCCTGTAATTGTTTTAGTTTTGCAATTCAATCACTTGTCATTGTCGTTTGTACACTTCACAGTTGGATTCAGACAAGCAGAGTCAATGGAATAGCCTTCAGTTAATTGCAAGACCTCACATGTCTCTCTTAACAACAGTGTCACTTAGTGCAGATCCCATTTGTGGTTATTAAACAAGGACCAAATTGTATTATATTGTGTAAGTGTTGTATAAAGATAACCCTACTACTTAAGAAGACAGATGTGACAAAATTTAATTTTAAACACTTAAGTAGGAAGAACATCAACAAGGACAATGAAGCAACCCAGAGAGACACTTCCCCATAAAAGTAAACAAAAGGCAGAAAAGGCTATAAATTATGTACATTTTCTGCTTCTACTAATATTGTGTGATCAGCTTATTTTGAAGTGGAAACATGAGTTCATGATTTGAACTTTGAATGGATATGCATTTGGCATGCTAATACATAGTGTCTTAATTTTTTAAAAAAATATTTTCCTTTTTTTTAATAATGAAAAAGTGATCAAAGAATCAGCCAAGAAAACAAAAGAAAAGCCGCAATTAAAGAAAGAAGCCAAAGAAGAAGAAAAGAAGAAGACAAAGAAAAAAATTGAAGACTTTGATATAAAGGATGAGAAAATTGATGATAAATCAAAGAAAGATTCTCATAAAATTAAGCAAGAAAGAAAAACTGGAAAAGAAAAATCAGAGTTAGACAAAAATCATAAGGATAAAGATATGAAAGTATTAGCTAATGACAAAGATAAAGAAGTAAGAAAGTTAGCCAAAAGTCTTTCTAAAGCATCTGAAGAAGATAAAAGAAAAAAACCAAAGTAACAATTCTTAATGTCTGAATAGTGCTTTAGTTTAAAAAAACAAAAAAAAAATATTGATATTTCATCTGTAATACAATTTTTCTTGAGTTGGTTGGAATAAACAAAAATACATGCTTATTTCCACTCCAGCCTTGGTATATGTGTGAATTTATAAATATGCAATATTCCAGTTGTACATAGCTTGTTTACTCGTATTGTGATCAGTTATACAATGGAATTTTATTTTTGCTACTCAGTATGTCACACAAAAAAGGCTAACGTAAAAATAAAGAGACTGAAATGTTTGAAAGTAGTATTTAATTTAGAACAATATTTCATACCAATTCTTAGAAGTGTAATGGAAAAATAAACTTGGATTTGGTTCTCAGGTCTTTGTATGTGTGTATATGTGTGTGCAGTGCACAAACATCCATCATATAAAGCATGGATTCAGTAACCTGTAATATTCCAGATGTTACTTATTTTTGGCTTCCAGCATCCCTCACTATTAAGTTATGTTGGCTGGGACTACTGGAATGCAATTTCTATAATAACTGGGATTCCATAGGTTGCTTTCCCTGTTACAGATTCATCACAATAAATAACCTCATTAGATTACATACTCCATAATATTTTCCATAATAAATTACTTAACTGTATCAAACACAAATGGTTTGAAAATATAAACCATGACAGTGAATTTAGAATGCATAAACGTAATCAAAATACTGATTTCAACTATCCTTTCACAATTTTTCCATAATGTTTGCTTCTTAGAAAACCAATTTGATTTTTTGGGGGAGAAAATTGAATTTTATGGTTGTATTACAGGTTTTTTTTAAAAAAAAAACCCAACAACTATTGAATAGAGTCATCATGTGCAAAAAGTAATTACTGACTTTTTAGAATTCCTTTCAACCAAGAAAAGCCTTACAGAAAAAAGATGTACTTCAGAAACATACCATATATGAAAAAATAATGGAGATACCCAGGCTGCATTTCTGAAGCACTTTAAATGGTTAGTTAACATTTTGAACATGAAGATAAAGCAGGTGTTTTCATAATGGCTTTGAACTTATGCCTTGAATTTGCAATGCATAAATTATTATATTTTAAGTGATGATGTGAAAAATAGTAACTACATATATGCAATTTAGAAAAGACTGGAATATTTTACTTTTTATTTTGAGAAAGTAGCTTTAGTGATTTATCTAAAAATATTGAAAAATATTGTAAGGGTGTGTGCTTGAAGAATGCATTTACAGTACGTAATAGTATTAATCTAGTTGTTTGATACAAATTCTTAAATGAAAATATTAACTTTGAAATAGAGGAAGATAAGGGGGAACAAAATGAATAATATACAACCACAACTATCTTAGTATTTCTGTCATACTATATTTTTTGCAGTTAAATAAGAGATAGAAAAGATTTTCACAATACAGAAATCTCTGAAAATTTAAGAACATGTGTACATGAGCCAGTGGTGATGCCATTTGTCATGGAAAAGAAAGGTTATATAACATTGTCAGAAAACATTTAGGAATAGCAATTATTTCTTCAAAATATATTTTCAAAAGGCATTTTTGCCTGGCCACCAGCAAAGATCTATAGACACTACTCTATAATAAATGGAAGGCACCCAGTTGCTTAGATGTGTAGACAGTCCATGGAGTCTCGCTGTAAATATTTTTAATTCATTTTTGAAGAATTTAAAGAGTTTGAAATGAATTTTTACTTTTATGACATGTTATTCTACATTTATATTGTAATGTAGTACACTGAAAATAATTCATATCCTAAAAGGAAATAAGGTAATGAAACCTGTTCCTGTCACTTATGCACATTCAGTTTGTTTATTTGAAGAGATGAAATTCAATAAAAACATTTGAGCAGAAGAATTGTTCAATTCCTTTTTATTCAGTGTTAGAATATTTAGTTACAAATCGGCTATCTAAGAAATACTCTCAATACAGAGAGTTCTGGCTTAATAGTGGTAATTAGGAATGGCAACTCATTAAGTGAAACATGTGACTGTTGACGTACAGTAAAAGTTGTGGCAGTTCCAGTTAACATTATACAAATCCTGCATAATGGTTAAGCGCAGCTATGTGTGATCGCTGTTTGCAACGTCCTGCTGATGAGGGGGTCCTTGGTGCTTTCTGAGTTTGGTTGTTTTCTTGTGGATGTTTCATTACCCATACTAGGTAACATCATCATCAGCATGATGATGACACGTCCACAAGAAAACAACCAAGCTCTGAGCACCAAGGACCTCTTATTTCAACCCTGAGCTACAAATATTCTCCTTACTGACTCTGCTGGTTTCCTCATTGACTTTGCCTACTGGAAGTTGGTGGTGAAGGTTGCAAATGTAAAAATGGGATGCTGCAGTATTTGTAAGTTGGTTGTCAGCAGTTGGCAGTTACCACAGGGATGCTGCAATGGCAATAATTATGAGGATAGGTTGTAAATCTTCCGGTCCAGAATTGTTGTAATTTTGAACCAATTGCTGAATATGTGGTCATAAACTACTTGCAATAATTTAAGATAAAAGATAGTCTAGCTTACTGCACATTGGGAATTTGTTATATATGGGAACATTGAAAATTTAGCTATTTCTCTTTTCTGTCTAACTATAGAAGTACAGTATATAATCATTCTTTGTGCTATGTACATAGCTCCTTTTTGTCTGTATTTCTTGCTGCTGGGTGTGCAGTATGAATATAACTCATCATCTCCAATGCTCAAGAAACCTCAGGAATTATTCTGTTAAGTGAAGTAAAGGATTTTTTTCTATTCACTTCCAGCAGGTTGAAGTCTACTTTAACATCCTTTAATCTATTGCATTTTATTCATCAATGAATAAGAGGGACAGAGCTGGAAAATGTTGGGAGTAACAAATTCAAGATTGTACTAAATAAGTTGTACGGTTGATATTTGATCTCACAAAATCATGCACACATATAGATATAATTTTAAAGAGATTTCCATGAGACAGTGGTCTTTTAATGTCTCTCATTGTATTCTAGGCATCTGTACTAGAAATCAGTTTGGTAATATGATATACACAATGTTCAAAGGAAGTTGGGAATAAAGCCAGTGAATGCATATACAGAGCAATTCCTTTTAAATAGTTGCTATAATATTTTTTTAAAAATGTATTAAAAATTTTAAATGTAATCTTAAATTGAAGATGACATGACTTTCTGGAGGTGGTAAGTATTTTTCACCTGGTTTGGTGTCCCCATCTTAATTAATTAATTAAATGTCTACACCTCCCATCTCACCCTGGGTGGTTTGCTAATAATGATGCCTAATTGGATCAAAATCTTGATGCAGAGATTAAAGTTAACTTTATAACTAAACAATGCAGGACTTAAGGAAAGATCTGTCTCAGAACAGCCAATTCCAAGAAGTGCGGAAGAGGTTATCCCACCTAAAGAAAAGCCACATGTGAAAACAGGTAAGCCCTTAATAATAGAAAACCTTCAGAACATGAGATCTGCAATCACAACATTTCACCACTATTGCAAAATTACAACATTTATTCTGTGCTTCCTGTGAAGTTTTTCAGACCTTACAACATTATAGTTAATTTCTATTTAACATGCTCTTTGTTTTTACTTTTTTTTTTTAAATAAAAGCAGTGAAGGGTTGTTTTTTTTTGCTGATTGATATAATCTTCAGAAATTATTCCAAAATCAATATTTCATAGAAATGAATTGTAAGTCAAATATAATGCCTATTTCAGATGCAAAATGGCAGCTACAGTTAGAGGAAATTGGCTAAGTGCATAACTATGCACTGTAAATTTATGCATAACTGTTAATTTAGTAGTTTAGTTAATAGTTATACATGAAATGATTGTAAATGAGTTTTTAAATAGATGCTTTGAAATTTTGACTAATTGGTGAAATTGCAGAGATGAAAATGCTAGAATTATTTTCAAAAGCCACAAATTGCATAGCAAGAATATACAACTGTGAAGGTTCTGGCTTGGATAAGCACTCTGAGGCCTCATTGGTGGAGTTAAAAGGCAAGCCATCTTCCAATGTCCAGTCTGTTCATATTAGGAATGGCATTCTAGCAAATACTTGGACTAAAGCCATTTAAAGGTTTATAAAGTAACAACTAAAGAAGGCTTTGAAATAAATTGGCAACCATTGTAAATCACAAGGAAGAAAGGTGACTGATTTCATAGTTTTTGGAATTTCTAAGTAATTTTCAGGAAATCTCCATGTAAAAACATAGTAATCTACGTAATGTCACATTGCCATATTAGTATAGTGCTCATGGGATGCAGTAATTTGTTTGAAACACAAATTCTATTTTTACCTTTGGCCCCATACTGATACACTATTTTAATCCTGGAATCTGTTCACAGATCTTAAGGTTCCCTGTTGTCTTATCAAAGATAAACTATAATTAAGTATTTTGCTTGTAGGCTATGCTTGCTTATCCTCAGATATGTCAAAATACAACTTAGAAATGTATTAAGATAAAAATTTCAGGAGTACATTTTTACATTAGATAACAAATTCCATTTGAACCCCTAAATATAGCAAAACTGCTTACACTATAATGGATTGAGATCGGTTGCCTTATCCAATTTACTTTCTTTTCTTCATCTGAAGTTTTTTATTATGATTTCTGTTTAATATATACATTTGCAAAATACATGAATTGGTAGCCAAATGCTTACATAAATAAAAATGTAGTATGTTACATATATATATATATATATATATATATATATATATATATATATATATATATATATATATATATATATATATTCTATTTTAGGTTAATAGCATTGAATAAAAAAAATTGTATCAGGAACACAATAAAAAAAGTATTTGTTGAAAAAGATTAAATCTGTTTTCATTTTTTTAAAAAAATGCAAATGTTTTGCATTTTTTTTAAATTTGAAAATGATATCACATATAATCTTGCTTCAACTTATTTCAGGCTCTGGAAAAAGTTGAAGCAGGTGTAAATAGTGGTAGAAAAATCCAAACAGCAAGTTGTGTGGCTGTTTTGAGCTCAGATATATCATATGTGTCAGTTTTTAGTTTTCTCAGATCATTGGAAAAAGCTTTTAAGTATATTTAAAAAAGTTGTTAGAATGCTTTAAAAATAGTAAAATGAACCAGAAAGGCAACATCTGAAATGCCAGTGTAAAATATAGATTATGTAGTTGATAAAGCCTGACAATTGCAAACAATTTTAAGGGTAAAAACATAATAATTTTTCTGTAGGTATTTATTTTCCATTTTCTGTTATTTCAAATTCTGTTCAGTAATTTGAACAGTAATTGTTGATTTATTTTCGAAACTTATGCAGAACATATACATGTTAAAACAGAACCTGAAGATGAAATTGAGGCCTTACTACATGAACTTCTTGACTCACAACCTGGTATGAATGTATCCTAGATTCATTTTTTTCCCAAATGTGTGGATTCTTCCTTTTTTTAAGAATAATAGTAAGCCACTACTTTGATCTGTGTAAGATAGTTTATAACATACCTTTCTGTTTATTCCTCTGTTGTTTTGACAATTATTTCTTTCTGAGATGGAAAAATGTGTTTGCACAGCATATAGAACTTTCCCATGATAAGAGTAAATGTTTCTGGTATAATCTATTCATACTTGGACTTCAGTAAGACATTAGACAAAGTAGACCATAACCTACTTTTTGATAAAATAGAACAATGTGAGATGGAGAGCATCACTACCAGATGGATATGTAACTGGCTGATCAACTGCACTCAACATGTAGTCCTCAATGTAACTACATCTACATGGAGAGAAGCATGCAATGGGTTACCTCAAGGTTTTATCTTAGGCCCAGTACTCTTCAATATCTTCATAAACGATTTAGATAAGGGAATAGAAGGGGAGCTCATCAACTTTGCAAGTAACATCAAGCTGGGGGCAGTAGCCAACACTTTAGAAGATAGGCTTAAGTTCCAGAAGGATCTGTACAGAATTGAACACTGGGTCCTATCCAACAAAATGCAGTTCACTGATGAGAAAAGTAAGACTTTAAACTTAGATGAGAAAAATGAAATGCACAGGAATAGAATAGTTGGTACCTACCTCATCAGCAGTATCTCCCAGAAAAGGATCTAAGACTCCTAGTGGACAATTATTTAAGTATGAGCCAGCAATGTACTGCAACTGCCAAATATCCAGCGCAGTTCCAGGCTAGAGGGATAGAATCAAAATCACATGAAGTGTTAGTATTTTTATACTGCTTTGGTAAGGCCAGTCTTGGAGTACTGCATCCAGTTTTGGTCGTCATACTACAAAAAAGATGTTGAGACTCTATAAAGAGTGCATAGAAGAATACAGAGATGATTAGGTGGCTGGAGGCTAAACCATATGATAAATGGTTTTAAGAACTGGGTATATCTAGCAATCTTCCAATATTTTAAGAGGTTGTCACACCCGGGTGGGGGGGCAACTTATTATACAAAGCATCTGAGGGCAGGAAAAGAACTGTAAAGTGTTAGTACCAGTTTATAAAGCCTTGGTAAGGCCTACTTGGGATATTGCATCCAATCTTTCTCACCACAATATAAAAAGCATGTTGAGATATTAGAAAGAGTGCAGCGAAGAGCAACAAAATGATTAGGGGTTTGGAGGCTAAAACATGAAGAATGGTTGCAGGAATTGGGTATATCTAGTTTAATGACAAGAAGGAGTAGGGGTGACATGATAGCAATTCTTCAATATCTAAGGGGCTGCCACAAAGAAGAGGGGTTCAACATATTCTCCAAAGCAGAAAAGGCAGAACAAGAAGCAATGGATGGAACTAATCAAGGAGAGAACCAACACAGAAATTTTCTGATAGTGAGAACAATTAGTCAGTGGAAAGGCTTGCCTCCAGAGGTTGTGCGTGCTCCATCACTGGAAGTTTTTAAGAAGAGATAGGACAGCCATTTATCTGCATTAGTATAGGGTCTCCTGCTTGAGCAGGGGATTATACTAGAAACCTCCAATGTAGAATGGAATAGAATGATAACTTTGTCACTTTCAATGTACACTAATTGGCATACATTAAAATGAAATTTCATTGCATACAGCTCAAACAGTCATCACTTCAATATACACTACATAAACATGACTAAATAAATAAATAAATAAATAAATAAATAAATAAATAAATAAATAAATAAGTATATATTCACATATAATATATGACACAGAGAAACAACACAGTCTAGTTCAGATGTATACATGTACATGGCAAGAAAAACAGATCTTGCAAGTTTATCAGATGGATGGCATAGGGAACAAAGCTGTTACAGAATCTGGTAGTCCTGCTAGAAATAATTTGAATATCCATTCCAACTTCCCTTATTCTATTATTATATAATAGACTTACCCGATATGTGTGTGTGAATGGATGGATGGATGAATGAATGAATGATTCACTAAGGTGCCAAAAATATTTAATTTTAATACTGTTTAATTTTGTAGCCAAGCACAGATTAAAGAAAAATATACACAAAAATGTACAGACTAGTTTAATGATTTTTGTGGAGAACAAACTATATTTAAATCATATTTGTCCTGAAATATTAAAAATATTGAAAATTATATTGAAATACTGAAAATTGTAAGGTTTACAAACTTAAGCATCACTGTTTATGCTTTTTTATTAGGAAAGATGCAATTTCTATTACTGTTTTAAATGGATGTTTGATTTAATGAAATTAAAGCTGTTTACTGGAATTCAAAGTCATCTCTTTTTTTTTCCAAAAAAGAAAACGGTGAAATAGATGAAGAAAAAAGTGAAATACAAAAAGATGAAATAGATGAAGACCATGAAGAAACAGATTTTCAGGAGGAGGAAGAAAAAGAAGGCAATAATGAAGTATCTGAAGAACCCACAACGGAACAGAGTTATGATAAAGAAATAGAAAATAAAATACCTGAAATATCAGAGAAATCAAGTTCTACCCAAGAAGGTATCTCAGTTGTGAAGAAAAATAAACATATTTCTTAGATATTTATATAGCATTTAATTTTCTGAACCAATTCAGAGAGGCATTGAGGGTTTTAATGTTTAATATGTATGTAGCTCAACAAATAAATGTATGTTTGTTGTAATCGTTCACTTAAACTTTTGTGATGCTGACTATGCTATAGTATTTTGTATAATAATTTACTAGTGGGGTATGTGTGTGTGTGTATCTATGTATCTATATATTTATGTATGCATTAAGGCAACATAGATATCCTTTTATATATCTTTTTTCCAGACTCTTATTTATTTATATATATCTTTTTTACAAACATACATACATGCATACATACTGTACATACATACATACGTACCATATTTTTCAGAGTATAAGACACTCTGGACTGTAAGAAGCACCTACCTTTTTGGGGGAGGAAAACAAGAAAATAAAATCTGCCTCTGCTTCCCAGCAATTAATTTAATTTAGTAAATTTCAAATTTCGCAGTATTTTCTGTAATCTTTGTATATATTTAAAAAGAAACATTTTACTTTCAGAACCTGCAAGTCACTACCAACCCAAGGATCAAGAAGAATATGACACTGATGGTATCTAATGTCTTTCATAATTTGATATAAGAGTTAGATATAAGATTGACTTATCTAAAATGTTTTAAATTAATAAATAAACAAATAACTTTATAGTGCCACAAAGTGACTAAGTACTGAATATGCAGGAACTGCAAATTATATTCAGCACTCTCAGTGAAATTTTTATATAGAAAAAAAAGTGAAACTAAAGGACCAAGGACTGCTGAATCTAAAGTTTTGATAAGAGTTTCAACAATTCAATTACAAGTTAAAATAAATTTACTTTATATTATTTTAAGTAAAATTGCTGACTGAGAAAAGGTTAATTAGTACGCTAGGAAAAGGCATACATGTATGGGCTAACTGTACAAAATTTTCAGTACTTGAATCTCACACATGCAAAATTGCTACTGTGAATACTAGTTGGAGGTTTGTAGATGATTTTCTTCTGGGTCAAATACAGAATTCTTTCCTGTTACCTTATTTCTCTGAATTTTTTAACTATTGGCTTGAGATTTGTGGCAGCAGTATTAAGCATCCCTTGTCCTGGCAGTATATTAATGGCTTTTGTAATATAATATGGCATTCCTAATTTTCAGTTTTAAACGACTATTCTCACGTGGAAGAAGACACAAATGAGCCAGAAATCCAAGGTATGTCTGATTTATATTAATATAAAGGAAATATTTTTAATGATTTGTAAAAGTAAATCGTTAAAATTACATAATAGATTTGTCAATAAAAAGTTTTTACTATCCTTTAATTGTATAATCTGCATTTTCTGTTTGAATGATCAAGACTAATAACTATCTTGCTTATTTTGGGTCATAAAAGATAATGTTGATAGAAAAAGGTTACATCTACTTCTATCTAGAAACTGGAAATAAGACTTCTTTCTGAATTTAGAAAAAAACTTCCTTCAGTTGCATGCAATGATTTCAACATTTAATTTGCTTAGCTCCATCTTAAGAGGAAGAATAAAAAATTTCACACACACTCACAAACATGAATTGTATATTTGGAAAGAACACAGAAAAGAGAATTGTTCATGTTCCCAAGTATGTTCCTTGCTACTTTTAGTTTTAAGCCTGAAGAAATGGAGTTAATTTTTCTTGACATATTCATCTTTGAAGGAACCAAAAGTTACTTCATGATGTTATAAAATTGTGATAAGTTTTGACTTCTTTGAAGAATGTGACTGAGCAGGAAAGAAAGCATATGCACTCAGTCTTTTAAGCTTCTCCTGGAGAGTCTGGTCATTTCCAGTTTTGTGAATCAAATTTGTGAAATTAGTAATGTGAAACTATGTATAAGTGTGTAGAATGGTATGTGGCAGTTGGGGAGAAAATGATTTTACATATTTAAACAAAACAAAGAATTGTAATTGCAATCAATATTGTAACATACTTTCTAGGTGGCAAGTACAAGTGAGGAACATATCTGGGAAAGAATAGTGGCGTTCATCCATTTAGGAATCAGTATGATATTTAAGGGTGTCATTATTTCCATTTTCATAACTACCTCTTAGAGGATATACTTTCTGAACAAGATTACATAACATCATGTTTCTTACAGATCTTAATATTTTCATTTGCAGAATCTGGTCCAGAAAATACAGAACAATCTGACCATGTAGAAGAAGAAGGTATGTTTTTTCATACCAAACAAACAATTCCGTATTTTAAGTTTCTTTCAGTGAATGCTGGCTTACTTATGCGTTCCCAAAGTTTTGCCCATTTGACTCTATATAAATTCTGTGGTTATGTGATGTTTACATAGACTTTTTCCAGCTGATTTGTGTCTTCTGCTCATGGAAATCTGTTTTGTTTGCTAAACACATGGGAGTGATGTAGAGAAACAATGATAAGAGCGCTGAGTGGGTAGGAAAGAGCTGGCTCATCAAGTTTGCAAGACCTAATATGTCAGTGCAAATAAATTGCCATGCCAAACCAACCAGAAACAATGTTGTGGCCAAAGGTCTTGGTACCCTTCCACTTTTTCCCAAAGAATCCCAGTGTGCTGTGAAGTATGTTGAAACTGACACAAGGAAATGGTATTCACCATTTTTATTCCAGAGTCCATAGAGCAGATACTTTGCTTTTAATATATTCTCATAAACACTGTTTAATAATTAATTATTATTTTATATATATTTATCTTAATTATAATAATAATTAATTATTATTGTAACTAAGACGATATGTTTTTAACATATGATCTACTTGGTCTATAATAGCAGAAAATTTTAATTCATAGCAAGTTGCCACTCAATGTTTAATTTTAAGATATCAATTTTTTTAGAATTAGAGAGAGAAGACTTCACTGAGAATACTGGTATGTAGATTCCTATTTGCTTACTGTGCATTAAATGTTTATGGTATCTATATCTAATCTACTCAACATTTAATATAAATTGGCCAAGAAATATATTTAATAAATTCCAGTTTTCAAAAATAAGTAGAAGTACACTGACTTTCTCATGTGTGATTTTATTCACATAGAAAAAAAAGTTTTTTTCTGAAAGTTTACAATTACAAGAAAATGTTATCAACATTTTTAGTCAATGATAGGAAGTGTTCTGTTGCTGTAATTCTAATAATTATAAATTGTATGACACAGAACACTGATAACCAATTTCACACTTCTCTTCTTTTTAATGAAAAGTAATCTTTTTAATGCAAAGCTGTTATGTTCCAAATTGTGGCCTTCTGAATCCATTTGTTTTCCAACCGCAGTCTCTATTTATATAGCACAGAATATATTCTTCATCTGTGAATTCTGTATCTATACTTTGTTTTCAAATAGATAGTAATGGCACTGTTATTTCAGTTGCATAATATTTAATTGAACACTTATATAAACATAGGCAAAAATAATACAATTAGAACAAGGAATTGTAATTGTTGCAGAATTATTTATTGCTGGATTGCATGTACCTTACTTAGCAGCAGCTGCAATGCTTATTTTCAATTCCTGCTAAGAAGCACAAGAGAAACAGGAAATTGTACATATTCTTATTTATTTAATACTAGCTGTACCCGGCCACGCGTTGCTGTGGCCCAGTCTGGTGCTTCCGCTGGGCTAAAAGAGCGAGGCTGAAGTTCCAAACTCTCCACGAACATTTGGTGGGCGTGGCCAACTCGACGTCACTCACTTTCATCAGTCACATGACAGCCCCCGAGCCACGCCTACCCAGATGGTGATTAGGGCAGAGAACCGGTTGCTAAAAAACAATGGGAACCACAAAATCCTCCCTCTCTGTCTCCCCCATCTCTCTGTCTCTCTCTCTCCCCGTCTGTATATCTCTATGTCTCTCTCTCTCTCCCCCTCTGTATCTCTCTGTGTGTTTCTCTCTCCCCCTCTCTCTGTATCTCTATGTCTCTCTCTCCCCCCTCTGTATCTCTCTATGTGTCTCTCTCTCCCCCTCTCTCTGTATCTCTGTCTCTCTCCCCCCTCTGTATCTCTCTATCTCTCTCTCCCTCCCTGTATCTCTCTATGTGTCTCTCTTTCCCCCTCTCTCTGTATGTCTATTTCTCTTTCTCTCCCCCCTCTCTCTATATCTCTCTGTCCCACCCTCTCTCTCTCTGTATCTCTGTATGTGTCTCTCTCCCCCCCCCGTCTCTCTGTATTTCTCTATGTGTCTCTCTCCCTCTCTCTCTGTTTATCTCTGTCTCTGGCCTGGCCTCTCCTGCATCCCCTGCCATCGCCCTTACCTTTTCAGTCCAGGCCTTCGCAGCTCTCCGCACCCCAGCAGAAACTTGGGGGCCCCCTCCATCCTCTCTACACAGATGTTCTCTGGGGGCTCGACGGGGAGACGTATAGCAGGGAAGGGAAGGGAGGGAGGGGGTGCGGTGGGGTTCGAGGCTGGTTTGGGGCTTCCCACCTGAAGGAAGAAAGCAGCAAAGCCAGGAGCCACGCACACCCCACTGGACCCCTGCTGCGCAGTACTCCTCCCCCACCTGCCAAGGGCAGGGGAATGATTAAATCCCCCACTCTTCCAAGTGAAACGAAGGAGGGCCGGCCATCCTTCCTCCTGCCTGTTTCTGCCCGCTGAAGCCTCCCCAGAGCCCCTTTTCTGCCAGAGGCTGAAATTTTTGTGTAGGCTCTGTGAACTGCCAGAGCGCCCACCTGGGAATCAAAGGCGGCGCTGGTCAAAGGTGACCCCGAGGCTCCAGTTGCCTCCATCTCCCACTCACCGACCGCCTTTGCATAGCGCCGGTTAGCGGCTGGTCTTTCTGACCTCGGGCCAGTGGTAGCGCTGGGCCAGGTGCGATTCGGGTCAGGTGAGGGACAGAGGGTTCCCGCTCAGCGGACCCAGGCAGCCCCATTGCCAGGTGTTCTTTGAAGGGAGCCCCGAGAGCGGCTGGCGAAGGGATGGGCAGCAGCGGCAGGCGAGGCTAATTCACGGGGTGGCCGGGGGAGGGGGAGGTCAGAGCCAGGCTCGGGCGGGCCCCGCCCAGCCCTAGAAGCGCTGGCTGCAAGGGCTTCCTGGTGGAGACCTGGCTGCCTACCTACCGAGCCTGGTGGCAGGATATGGCCCTCGGGCGTCTCTGCCTTCCAAATGCGCAGTTTCTTGGAAGCAATATGGAGAGTCTAAATATAAGGAGCAGAAATCTGTTGAGCATAATCAGGGCTGGGAGGCTGCCATGTTGGTTTTACGTCCAGCAGATGGCGCTGTTTTTCAATGTTTTTCAATGTTTGTCAATGTCTTTCAATGTTTTCCAATTTTTTTCATGTTTTTGCCTGTCACAGGTGTGACATGTATATAATATAGGTATATAAAAACACGCCCATAGTCAAATGCAACATTGTGTCAAAATTTGAAAGCAATCGGTGAAGAACTTTTGGAGATGTGCGGTTATGTACAAACGGACATTTACATTTTTATTTATGTAGATTGTATGATGACTACATATGTGTATTTTTTATATCCTGTATGGAGTAGAAAATATAGGAAACATCCATTAATTAAGGATTCTTATGTGGATGTATAAAATGAAATAAAACACATATATTAAATAAAAATATAAAATATATAAATATCTGATTTTGAATACATTGGTAAACAAGGACATACTGAATAATATCTCTCGAACAGAACTACTTTTCAGGTAGAAATATAGTAATAATATACACTATAACCTGACATGCACAGCTTTATATCAAATAAAGAAATATATGCAAATGTTATCACTAAGAGTATGGAAAAAGGTTTATTCATCGCGTTAGCCATTTTGGATGGCAAGGACATGACTTTATTCACCTCAGCAACAATCTTTAAAGAATCATTGTGGAAATATGCCTTATTGTGCCATATGAGTTTTCCATAATAATTTATTAATAGAGATGTTATTGTTTCCTTAGGTGATGCGGATGTTTCAGATGCTGTTACTGAACCTGTTCAATCAGGTATATATCCTAAGATAAAAAGAATTGATAAAGAAATTATTCATTATTGTAAATATGTTGTTAAGTTCATTTATATGCATTTTATACAAACAATTTTGGAATAAACAATTGCAGTATTGCAAGAAAGCTTCACTGTATAATTTGGAACCAATGAAGATAGTCCTTGACTTACAACCATAATGGAGCCTGCCTACTGTAATCATCAATGGTGATAGTCATAAAGCAGATCATCACATGTCCGAGCCATTTATATTTATTTATTTATTCATTCATTCATTCAATTTCTATAGCCACTCATCTCAGTCAATGATTCTGGGCAGCTTGCAATTCAAAAAACATGTTACAATTGAAATACTAAAAATATTTTAAAACAATGAAAATGAAATAAATACAGATAGTAGCCCAGATATTTGGCCAATTAGCAATATAGCCAGGAAATAGGGCCCTTAACACATTTAGCGCCTGAGCACGGGAACAGGTTTTTAGGTCTTACGAAAGACTAATAGATTTCATTCTAATCATCCCGAGTTCCGTAAAACAGGGACCACTGCACTTCAGTAACCTTTTTTTGGCTTTTACATTGACTTTTTTTGTGGCAATCGTTAAAACCACTCAGCATTGTCATTAAGTGAATGCACATCATTGAGAAAATGCATGGTCATTAAGAGGTCGTTATGGGGCAATTTTCCAAAAACAGGAAGTAAATACCAGGTTTTGGCAAAAACTTTATAAGTTGTGGTCTTATGTAACTGCACGATGCTGCAAACAACTGTAAATGTTGACAGTCAAGTGCCTGAAATGCAGTTGTATAATTACAGGGGGAGCAGTATGGGATTATTGTAACTGGGTTGTAAATACATTTTGGGGATTCATCATAACTCCAAATGGTTGCTAAGTGACCTATTGTAAGTTAAGGACTACCTATAGAGATTGTTCACATTTTGACCAGTTTTAACCAAGTGTGGTTATTCCTCTGGAATTCATTGAAATTATTTCAATCACGTTTGTATATTCCTTGGCATTTATTTCTGTTTTATATGTTTGAATGTGTGTAAATAAGCATGGATTTTCCAATTATTATGTGTGAAGTCCTTGGGAATAGATTGGGAGTTAATTCTTGCTTGAGTGGGAAAGAGAGCATTATGAATTATCAGGAAAAACAGAAAGAGACAGCAAATGTATGCCTTCTGCAGCTCCGTGAATGAAGTAGGAGACAGAAAATTCAGTGTTTACTGAAAGCAGATTAGATACAAAATTGTGTTCTTTTTCTAACTATTTGACACAAGTCAGATTGTTGCAAACATTTAGCTCTGAGACCCAAGCTTTGATATGTCCAGGTAGTCTTTGAATTACACATTCGTTTAGTGACCAAGTTACAATACCACTTTAAAAACAGATTTATGACTGTTTTTCACACTTAACAACTGTTGCAGCATTCCCATAATCACCTGATCAAAATTGGCCATTGACCTGTGTTTATGATCGTTGCGGTATTCTGGGGACATGTGATCATCTTTTGCAATCTTCTGATAAGCTAAATCAATGGGAAAGCCAGAGTCACTTAACAAGCGTGTTACTAACTTAACAATTGCATTTCCACCTGGCTCTAATCTTTTAGTTTCTGTTAATGTTAAAGGTGATATGTGCCACTAGACGAGACACTATCTTGGTTGGAACCCCAATTGTATTCTATTTTGTATTTTATCACTATTTTTTATTTTGCTATACTCTATATAATTTGTTTAATCTATTCCTGATAATTCAGAATAAGGCTACATATACTGTAATATACTTTTATTGAAATTACTGAGTCTATTTCAAGAAGCAAGTGTACATCATTTAAAAATACCATTTTTTTTCAACTTGTTCATAGTACATGAGGAGGAACATACAGAAGAACATGTGGCTGCTCAACAACATGATACAGGTTAGTACAATATTTGTCCATTCAAACTAGTACTTTGTATATAATAGCACCAGTAACTAGATGTGACCAAAACTGCTGCAAAAATACGTAAATAAGTTTTCTGCTTTTATAGTTATACGGTATGAGCAGAATAATTTTATAATAATGTACATTTAAGTTACTTTTTATTAACAAAACGACACTACACTACACTAGAAATTGTCCATGAACAGTAAAATGCAGCCTAAATGTAATAGTAACACTTGGCAGTTGCCGATATAACTATTAAATATAGCAAGCCGTCTATGGATTGTTTCCTTTCTATGTAGGACTTTTATCCTACTTGAATAAACCCAATTTTGGCAGAATGTTACCCTTCTTTGCCATGTAAGGACTTTAAACATATTTGCACCATTTCATTTCTGAGAAAATATTGTTTTACCCTGTTTTCCCCCAGAATAAGACATCCCCTGATAATAAACCCAGTCGGGCTTTTGAGTGCATGGTAATACCGCCAAGCGCTTATTTCAGGGTTCAAAAAAATAGGGTCTTATTTTCAGGGAAACACGGTAGTAATCCTATAATGTTGTAATAACATCTGTAAGTGCGTGTCATAATAATTGACTAAAAATCTGTGAATTACAGAAGTTCCTGTTCGCACAGAAGATTATACAGAGGATGATGTAATTGGTAAGTTACCTCCTCAGATTCCTATCTTTAATTAAAAGTAACTTTCACACTGTGCTCATAAGACAGATTTTACATAAAGGTAGAAATAAAACTCATAAGCAAATTTGAGGTTTGTAGCCGAAGTTAAAAAGATAATGTTTTTTCTTGACAGATAAAGATTTGTCAATTTATTTTTTTCAAATGGAAAAAGCAATTAGAACAAGGCAATAATCAGGTTGATATTTTTATGTATTTCTAGCACTTTTTTCCTTTTTTATTCCTAAGAATTTTATATTTTTTTCATTGTATTTATTCAGGTTAGCAATTCAACATCTAATTTAATAACAGCATTTAATAAAACAGCTGATACATTTTTTACAATATTGATTAGTCTTTAAATAATGGTATGGATAAAACCATGAAATTTGGATAAAGGAGGCCTGGCTTAAAGTCTTTGAATTGGATAAAAAATATATTAAAAATGAGATAAATATAAAGTAGGATCATAGATACCATTAAACAGAGAACCTACTGCAATAAAAAACACATGTCTGTAGAAGAATGTAAGTTATGTTCATTATGGGGAGCTACTGATCTGCAATAGGAAGTTTTCAAATCTTATTCCATAATGAATTTCTATTTTAATTTTCAAAATATATTCCTGGAAAGCACATAGTTATAAGGTGTTCTGTGAGGCCAGGAATTCAGTTTACTTCTTGATGTGGCATGTAATAGCCATATTTTATGAGAAGTGTAGAAAAATATACGGCATAACTTCTCCTATATTAGGAGAATATAGCATAACCTCTCCTATATTCACTACATTTTTCCATCATCATCTATGATATAGCAAAATCATCTCAAATCTTCTAGGTTTGTGGCTCCTGTTAATATGAATTCTAAGTAGTACTTTAATAAGGGGCAGACATGTGGTAGAGCAGTTTAATGTGTGTGGTCGCATGGATAATCACGGAATTCTTTGCTATAAATTTAGCCTACTGCTAGAAACTTGATTGCCAGGAAATAGGAACTGTAGAATTTGCTTCCTCTAAACAACCATGTCAGTTTTGCATGTTCTTCAGGATTGGAAAATATAGTGAATTGAAATTCCAGAACCCCCTTTCATTATCTATATTTTTTTCTCTATTTTTGAACTGTTTATCATTGAAAAGTATATATTATAAGTATTAAAAGTATATATTATAGATCTTCAAGAACTGAAGTGAAATTGCTGTTTAATCAGTTTTTTAATGCCGCATTTTTTTCATGTGAGAGAGGCAAATTATGGCTTACAGGGTGTCGGTTGGAGTTTTTTATGTGTAATTTAGATGTGTTTATTTATTGTCTTAAAAAAACTACAAAAGGAATTATTTAATAGCATTGTTTCTTTCAGTTTTAAAAATATTTTAATTTTAAATGAGCAAATTGCATTGCATTTAATTTTAGCTAATATTCACACATAAATTTTAGTAGTAATAAGAATCTGGCAATTTTTATCCATCATAGTATGGCTTATTCATACTATTAAACAGTAATAGTTCAGTACAGGTAATGTTCTGTTTCAGGGTTGCTGATATACCCCCCACCCACCCACACACACACACACACAGTATTCAAAGCTGGCACTGAATTTTAGACAGATAACAACAGTCAGCAATGTGAGTCAAATGCCTAAGAGAGCTTGCCTGAACAGTCCAAGAAACAATAACATAGACCAAATACATTCCAAGAGTCACAGGATGCCAAATTGGGTAATTAGTTGGTCCAGTGGTCAATGTCAGGAACAAAAAGCAAGAACTAGAAAGACAAACAAATGTTTCCAACAAAGATTGTAAGCAAAGAGGCTAGCTAAATCTAGTTAACCAACTGTCTACAATTACACATGCCTTGCCCTTTTCTTAGTGAGAAGCCTCCTTGAGGAATGTTGCTCAGGTCACATTAGGATTTGTATAGACCTGGGGCTTGAAGATTGTGCCTCATCATCTGACTGTTCCAGTTGAACAGGAGATCCCTGTGGCTGATCAGCTTCCATTGAATCCTGACTTCCTGATTGTTAAGGCTGACCATCCTGAAGCACAGCCTCAGCAGGAGCAACATTGTCAGATGCCAAGTGAAAGTCAAACTTTGAATCATGGCTATATAAGAGTCCTCATTTAGTGATCACAGTTGGGTTAGGGCTGCTAAGCGAAATAGTCACTAAGTGGTCAATTATGTAGCCACAACTGTGCTTTCCTTTTCTCCACTTCCCTGCCCTTTGAAATGCTTCTCTCAGAAACAATGCTAGGATATCCACTTCAAAACTGACAAGACAATTCGTTTTACATTTTTTGCTTTTGTTTGCCTCCTAAACTTCCTGACCTTTTGGAATATTCATTCAGATGTTGGTATAATTAATAAGAAAGGAATAAATATTTGTATTTGACATTCAGTGGAGAAAAAGGTTTTTACAAGCAGGTACATGATGAGGAATACACCTTGAAAACAATGCACTATCACACTCAGCAAACAGCCAGTATATTCCCCATTGTTTGCCTGCTTATAATCTTGAAATCCCTTCCTCTCCAATCTTTCTACTCTGCAAAGAGGGAGGAAATGAATCAGATGCAAGAGAGTCTACAGAAATCACTTGTATTTTCTTCTCTGTCCCTTTCCACCAGCTAAAAAGATTTTGCATGTATATATAAATTCTTTGTTTGTGTATACCTATCTTCTTGTAATCAAGAGTGTTTATAGAAAATAGCTATTAGGGTGTTATTAGTGGCTTCAAACTATGAAGCTGAAGTTTATTATTTTATTATATTTATTGTTGTAAGTAAACTTAATTTTTTTAAATGTCTTGCTACGGATGTTCAATAACTATTGTATGGATTTACATATCTCTGATATGTAATAGAAAATGTTACCAATAGAAAATGTCCGAATTTTGTTGTAAAAGATGTTCCTTTTATGGGCTAGTCAGGAAAGCACAAAGTATTAATATATAATTAATATTATTAATTAATATTAATTAATAAGTATTAATAAAATACCTATAGTATAGTATAGTTTACTTTATTGTCATTGCACATGGTACAACGAAATTAAATGCCATCTTCAGTGTACATTATAACTATAAAAATAAAAACACAAACATACGTCCTTTACATTCTGTATAATTGAAATTGAAAACCCGATATTGCACTATACTGTAGAATTCAATATGGTTATTGCCCTGGGATAGAAGCTGTTTTTCAGCCTATTTGTCCTTGTTTTTATTGACCTGTACCGTCTGCCAGATGGTTAATAGTTCAAAAAAGGGTGCCCAGGATGAGATGGATCTTTAAGAATATATTAATTAATATAGGTATTTTAGGTATTCAGGTACACATGACTTAGTTTGCATTTTATAGCATAGTTCCTTCGTCCAATACAAGTGCTGAGGAATATATCAGGGATGGTTCTTCTTAGGATGCAGTCTGCTGGGACACATCTCTAGTTTGGCTATAGTGGGACTGGGATGTAAGACTAAACAACTGCTTGAATGAATCTTATCTTCTTAACTAGAGATGAAGTTGAGTTGATGTGAAAGCTTTGTGGACAGCCCATAGAGTAATTGCTATGCATTTCAACAGTAGTTTTGGTGATACAGGTCCTTCTACTGTATCCTATTATGTTACAGTGGTCTGAATATGAATGTTTAGTTCAGTTGCAACTGACTTATATTTGAACATTAACTGGCACATGAATTTGTAGCTCCATTCTCATAATTTCTCTCAAAAGACCCCAGGAAATAAATTACTCATATTTCTGTGGTTTTGGTCTTGAGACATTCATAATGCTTCCATATCTGATCCTATCAATACCCTTGTACAGACATCTTATTTAATCCTGTATGTGTTTAATTCCTGCCATTCCCAGCATATTTGCCTTGACTCTTTCTTTTTGGCACAGTTTTATGCCATTTGAAAATATATCTCTTTATATGAAATATTGACATGATGGAACAGAGGAGAATATAAGCAATTTTAGATTTCTTTTCTATTTAAACATTGGTTTGCCATTTTTTCTACCTTCATGTTCATGATTTGCATATTGGTAGCTGAAATAATACATTACGATTTGGAGATAAAGACCTAATTCCCATCTATTTGTTTTTAAGTTCATTATTCCTTCTGCCCTTCAGTATACATATAAACTATTTTTTCAAACATTCTGCCACAATGTCTAAGATCAAAAATATGCAAAAAATTAAAATCTCGGGTGTTTTCCCGCGTCATTATAAATAAGTTGGTTAAAATATTTAAAATCCCAGCTTAAAATCTTCTAAAATTCCCTACAGAGCACTCTGCAAGGTCCTTTAAAACCTCAGCTAAAATCCTACCAGTGACTTTAAAAGTTTTTCTTAAAGCAATGTTTCAACAGGCTCACACCCTGTCATCTTCAGGCTCTGTTTCATGTAGAAGCTATGCGTTCTCTGTTGCGGGGCCGGAGCTGTCGCTTATCTATATTTGCTGCTGCTGACGTATGCTGGCTAGCCTGCAACTCTGTGTTCTGGTTGGAGGACAACAGTTTTTCTTCCTGCTTCCTCCTCCTAGCTACTTGGCTTCGTGTTACAGGCCCAACTTTCTCAGATTCTCTATTATTATCTGTCTGCTGTAGAGGGGAAAGGATTCTGGTAGGCATCACAACACCCTTGATTGTTAGTTGAGATCTCAGCCTATCTTCTGGCTCGATCCTCTCTCTCTCCCTATTGCTAGCCACCCTCTGCAAAGAAGGAAGAATTCTGGCAGGTCTTACAACACCACTGGTTGCTTGTTGGAATCTCTGCCTCTCTTCTGATGTTAACACTTGAGTTTCTCTCAGTGCAGGTCCCCAAATACTTGATAACCTAGAGGCGTCATCTCGTCTGTTAATATTCTGCGGCCTCTTTTCAATTTCGATGGCCTCCCTGATTATTCTTTTGTTGAGATGTTCCTCTTTCGCCACTGTTCTGGTTTTATTAAAATCAATATTGTGTCCCGTGGCCTTCATGTGTTGTACCA